GCATTGCATTTGAGAACCACAGATCCTCATTACATTTAATTGGTAAACAAAAAAAATCTCGATCGTATGTAGATATCTTCAGTTGCTGTTTGAAACATAGTTAAATATGCTCAATATTTAAGTATATACAAAGAAAACAGAACATTCATTTCTCGCTGTGAAAGTTGTTTAGCTGTAGCTTTGCTGTCTGAAAGAATGCAACAATGATTGATGACGTATGCAGAAACGCAAGTGCTCTTTTCATGAATACTGATAATGAGATAAAATTTTTGCTCCTGTTTAGATCATCGAAAAGAACTCCAAATCCAAAGGCGCTCCTAAACACAGCAATGACTATGTCATCTTCCTTACCATTAACAGTAAATAGGAAGTATGTCTGAAATATATAATATACATATCCACACATAAGCCTTTTTAACTATTAATGTAATTACTACTGTGGTTAATGTGTCAGTTTTTAAATGGCACATCAACGCACTGACAGAACACAGTAAATTTCTGCATGCATCGTACAAACGTTTCGAGATGTGTGAGTGGGTTCTAATACTCACCTAGTAGCTTCCTGACCTCTTCCTGGCTAATGAACAGGTTCAGGTGACTTTTGACACCACTCAAGGACCACAGGGTGGTCAGTAACATGGCGGGCAGTAGTACCAGCGACCACAGCCGGCCCATTGTTACTGCATCATGATGTCACTTTGTTCATTCATGTTCGTATCATGTCTCATCAGCTTGATGCACGAGGACTTCGCCGACACTTTCTTAGTTTCGAGTGCATAATGAATCTGTCTGAAACCACCGTTTAAATTGTGTAAAGTTGGACGCGGTCATAAGTTCTAATTAATCACTCTCTTCCTCACTTTCATTATTATCGAGATGTATTTTTGTTAAATGTTGAATGGAATGGACAATTTTGAAGTTACTCCTAACTTAAAAATTATTCAGTTAAACTTCAAAAAAATTGTGCACAAAAATTGAGTTCTTGTAGTCGGATTACGCACGATTTACTAAGATCTGCAACATTTTCAATTAAATTAGAACAAAAAACTATTTAATATGCGTTTTTATGTTTTCTGTAAGAGTGTTAAAACAGAACACAAAATAATTTTAAGTTTTGAAATGTTCAGATATCCAAAATTTGAGAATATAATTAGCTTCGTTGTGAAACATTGCCTACATTATCACCTTATTCTCTTCTGATAAGTCAGTCATGTACTTCGTCAGTAGAGTAATGAATATAGGCATATATCGCAACACAATATTGAGCTTTCAAAGAACGTTGACACATTTACTTAATGCCCCATTACAGCAAAAGCTAATTGAAAGGACGGTTAGTAAAAACAACACTCCTGAAATAAAATGCTTTTTATTATTAGTGGACTGTTAAATTTTTATGGTATCACTTAGCGTCTGAATTCGTGATGAATTTATGAGGTGATTAATACCGACTTTTATAACCCAGCACGCAAGTCGCCAAAAAAGTACTCGTGTTAGCAAAAATCTACAATCGGCACAGCTTCACCGTGGTAGCATACATATGGGTGACTGAAATAACATACGAAGATTAAAATCGGTGGTTATATATTAATCGTTGCCATGGTAATTTACTGAAAGGTATTATACATATCTTTCGTCATAAAACACGTGCATGGATGAAATTCTTCCTCGCGTTTTATTCGCCCTACACTAATGAATTATTCACTTGTTTTCATATGTCCTGTACCACGCTTTCAGCCTTTATTTTCTCTGTTCGTTTACGTCGTGTTTTAATAAAGGTATTAAATTTTGTCAGATGTTAACAGCTTCTGTGATGTCATATGTTTGTTAAGTTACACAACAGTTCCTTTATTCAAAAGAGAGATACCTGGTCGATTCAAACGCGTGTTCATGCTAATGATGTATTTTAAACTGCCTTACTGTGGCACAAAGAAAACGTGGCGAGAATGTAAAGCATGCTCGTTTGCAAACGTAGATGAATGTCTTCGAAACACAAGGCCGATCTTGAAGTTCTTTGGAATGTAATATTCAAGACCTTCGGCTTTATTTGATTCCGTTTCCAACAGATTAACGTCGCCACACTTCTGTGTCTGTAGTGAAATCAAAGCTCGCCTAATGTCGGTTCGAAATCATGATACACTCGAAATGTATCCTTTGTGAAGTGAAGTGTTTCAAAGAGGATAACAGCAAGCTCAGTATACGTAAGTAGTGGCATAAATAAACTACTTTGTCAATGAACATACAAGACGAAAGGTTTTAGTTTGTGAGGTTATGTTTGTAATTTTCATCCGTTTCTATCATTTAAAATAAAATTTATCTTATTTTGAAGGAAAATTACAAAGATGAATAGGATATAAAATTATTAATACACATTAACATTGCGTCTTCCAATAGCGACGTAGAATTTCGTGTGAAAGAAAAAAAACGGGCCTGGCGCTTATGGATATCAGATTGATGATGTCACTTGCCCAGTATCTCGAGGTTTTTAGTCCGTGCAGCGAATTGACTGACACCAACTGAACAACGTGTATCACTGGCTTCAAGTGGACTCGCAACGCGTGACGTCTGACTGTCGCTCCCGCTATGACGCTACTGAGGGGAAGCAACCCTAGAAGTCTGGGACGACCCCGGGGTCTGTGCGCAAGTCACTATCGGCTATTCAGCTAACATTAATAATATCAGAATACAAATATAAATCGCCCTGATGATGGAGGCAGTGAGCATATATGAAACGTAGATCAGTTTCTACTAGACTACACGGCGGCAGAAGACACAGATTTTTTAATTTAATTTTGATCTCTGTTTGAAGCCTACTTCTCAAACTTTATTTTGTAAAATTTCTCAGTAATGGCTCATTTTACAAAATATTATTATTCTGTGTCTTTAACCTAAGACTTTTAATTTTATGCTGCCATCTTCTCGTGCTTTTTCGAAACTGTCTGTTTCACTGAGAATTTCACACCGAATCGCATGTATCATTTAACCATGCGTACTACATGTGCCGCCTAAGTAATCAAATATAAATTGAAGGATAATATTAGAACGCGTATTAGAATAATAAGCGAAGGTATGGACTGGATTCTATTAGTTCAGGACAAGTAACGGTGACGGACTCTAGTGAACACTGTAATAAAAATTATAAGTTCTTAAGAAATTTCTTTCTACAAGATCCCTCAATCTCATAATAGAGGTAAATGGTCAGTTTTGGAGGCCAGTCGGAATTATTGGTAAAGAGATGCCGCACCCTGAATTCGAATTCCGGCCCCTCTGCGAATAATTGTCGTTGCACATTGTCTACTTTATGTCCGAATTTATTGTTGGATTCTCGTACAAATGGAAAGCAAATTTACAGTCATTTTATTCCTCTACCCTAATGACTGGACATGTTAGTACGCATAAAAGTAATTGAATCTCTCATCAGGGAGTTCCGAAAACTCCACTGTTTTTTGTTGTTGTTGTTTACATTGGAGCACGAGATGAAGATTTAAAGTGGGCAAATGTAAATTCCCACATGATAATTGTTATAAAATATCAGAATAGACATTGGTATTCTGAAGTATATTAATGTATAAATAAATAGACATACATGTTTGAATAATTATGTTGGGTTTATTATGTAATGTAAAACATGCTACTTCCCTTTAATTTTGTGTATATATATATATATATATATATATATATTACAGGTAGAAGACTTGTTTTTATATTTTCATGAAACTTGTTCATTCACTCTTACGAATAAAGAGATAAGTGGTGGCGAAAATATTTGGAGGTATGAAGTAGCAAAACAATGGAAAAATTCATCAGATTTTGAGTGTTTAGTCTACTAAATGCAACAAAATTTAGTTTAATCCCATACATGTTTATATCGCACTGTTAAAAATATTTCATGAAGGGGAGATATCAAATGGAGTTGTAAAGTGTTCACTCTTTAAACACAAAATATTATCCCGACTTAACAGCGGGGTTTCCTGTACCTAGTTATTAGAAAAATAGTTGGCTGCCTGAGTGACGGATTGGAATGCGGGTCGAAAGAGTGACTGCTGACTCTTTGGAACAGAACCTTATCCTAGATGTCTCTCGATATTCAGTTATTATGACACTCAAAATTGACCCAAGTCACCACAAAACCCCACCACTGGTTGTCATCCTGAGTCAGTTCAAATTACCTGACATCCTTACAATTATATTTCTTTCGGAGTTTCGTTTTTAATATTGTCCTTACATCTGTCCTCCAGATTCCAGTTGAACTCTTTCCAGGTGGATTTCCCGTTGAAATATTTATGTTCGTTTTGCTACCCCACGAACGTGTTATATGTTCTACCCATCACACCGTACGTAATTCGACCTCTGTAACACTGTACCTAGACTATATATTACAACAATGGAAACTTGCCTACTTCTAAGATTGTTGAATGATGCAGTATCAGCCTGAGATGCTGTGTGGAGTCGGGTTGGGTGAGAGAGAAATAGTTACTCTGTAAGTGTCGACAGAATATGCAAATCGTATCTTTCGGGATCTTACCAAAACTCCAGATAAATTCAGACCAGAAGAGACGATATTTAAAGCGATATATATATCGTCAGTACCAATAAAAGCGATAGATGAAGTTTATTTCTTGATTCATTTAACGACTGCTTGTCAACTGATTAGGTTATATACTGTCATCGTTTCACTCTAACTCCTATCAGAATCGATGGGCTGTGTGTTTTTTTTCCAGGGGTTCAACAATGGGATCTGGACTGTTGATTTACATTTCCAATTCAAATAATATTGCATTCTGCAAGGTCTTATAGATTTGTACCACGCTGATTCCGCCACTAGTATTAGTGTACAATTTCCAAGCATCCCCTCACTAATATGAGTGTTTATCCCCCAGCGATTTGGTGAAGCCCCGAACAAGATAGTAAGAATGGTTACTCTTGAGACCATTTCCTTATCAAGCCCCCCCCCCC